TGGTATTACTTGAAATTGCACCAACAAATGAGATTTGTCAGATTTTGGCAGAAAATTCACATAAAGGAGAAGTAAAATTGCTTGAAGTCAACAAAATTGTTTGAATTACTTTGAGGAAAAGATATTAGTACAGAGGTAAAAGGAAGGCTAATGGAAACAATTAATTACATATATATATATATATATATATATATATATAAATATTATTTAAAATTTCTATATTTATGAGGGAAGAGAGCTCAATTTCAGAGATACAGTGTAGATATAGAAAATATGGACATAGAAATCAATACTTCATGGGGAATCAAAGCCTCACTTCTCAGATGAACTACAGATCATGAATTATTGCTACTTTTGTGGGTTATATATGTAGGCCACTTAGAGCTAATAGGAATTGTGAGAAGATGAAACTGTCCCTTTCCATTTGAAGGTTAATGTTTTAGATTATTTATAGTTCTTGTGGTTTGATCCATCTCCCCCATTAATAGATCTGTCCTGAACACACATAATCAGAACAATTCTACTACAATTTAATATACTCTTGTTGTTAACCATTTTGGAAATAACTAATTTACTCTGTCCAGATAAACTTATTATTGACCCCAACATGTGTCTAATGCCAAACTGGAATATTGTCACTAGAGAGTAATTTTCATGAACTTCTTGAGCATGTACTGTGACCAAAGTTCTAATAAACTACACTATCTCTCCAAATATGTCTCAGCACAAGTTTATGAGTATTTCACAGATGCATCTTCCTATGAAGAGGCTTTAACAATACTGGACAGGATCTATATTAAAGAGTAAAATGAAATGGTCTCTAGACACTTACTGGCTATAAGGCGTCAACTGCCCTCAGACTCCATTGATGGATTTTATCAAGTCTTGTTAAAACTAAGTAAGGACTGTTAATTTCCTTTGGTATCATTGGAAGAATATCAAGCTGAATTGATCTGTGATGCCTTCATATATTTTTCCTGAGTTTTCTTAGAATCTTACAGTAGTTTGGCTATTATGTTGGTATTTAAGCAGTTACTATTTAGTAGGCATTTTTACTTTGTTCTGTAGTTACATGTTGGTGGCTGGGTGTTTGTAGTGTACTGATGATTTTTCCATTGTGATATTTTTCTATTTGTAGCATAGTTTTGGTTTAAATATAGATCAGTTTTTCAGTATTCCTGTTGAATATTTATATATTTAGGTTTCAATATGGAAAATTATTTTACTCATTGTAAAGGTTTTTAATTTAAAAAGTTAATATTTATTTAGGTTAGGCTTGTTTCTGAATAAAATCCAATTTTAGTTAAGAAGCAAGATCTTACTTTTCATGAATAAATTTTATTTTAGTCTCAATCACAAGAATTTGATTCAAAATGTTTAAAATAATTATTAATAGCAAATATTATCTACTATCTATTTCTAATTATCTCTTAGATTTATTCTTAAAAGAAATATTACAAAATGTTATTCTTTAAAGCAGAAAACAAAAAGCTTTCAACAAATTAATCTATTGTATGTGAATTGCACATTATAATTTTTACCTATTCAAATATTTTAATGCTGGAAATTACAAACACTAAATGAAAATTGAGTCCTCATGGTTCAGGTTTTCTATATGTTGCCCTTAACTGTCTTTCACTATTATCTTCAAATGTGTATTAAAGACAAATTGAGAATAGTTTAATTTTATGGTCATAAAATGCTGATTATCATTAATACCTTTTCTAATAACATTAGTGTCTGCTATTTCAATCATCCAATCATTAAAGCTGATCAGCAGAAGAAATGCATTAAAGAATATTGCTCAAAGTTTAAATTTTTGAGGAGAAAAAATCACAAGATGCTGCCTGAATAAATGACAAACTGACAAGAAAAACAGACCATCTAATCAATAATGAAGCTGCATCAATAATTGATCCTCCCTTCACATTAAAGAAATCTGATCAATACTCACAAATGGATTTTCAACTTTTCTAAAGAGAACTGAACTTGGGTCAAGCAAAGCAGCAAATTTGGATTCAGCCAAGTTGACATCTTTCTCAAACTCAACTTTCCTGAGTTCTTCAGCAGCTACCATGTCAAATCCCCAAACATCTGCAAAACAAAATAGAAAACTTTCAACTGTGGTCTTTTGTCTCTGCTGTGATGTCTTTTAGTCTGTGATACAGAAGTTCTACTTCTGTATTAAATGCAAAATAGGGTAAGTCCATTTTGCCTATGTCACTGCACATCCCAAAAATGAAGAGGTTTTATGCCCTTTCTTGATCTGTGATTTCTCTGACTTCTCTCTTGAGGTATGTACCTAGTACTTTTTGTTGGGGATCTAGCTCTGGACTAATTTTCATTCTGGTCTTCTAATTATATGTTGGATTTTTACAAACTATCTCCCATAGTTTCTTTACTACTTTGTTCACTTTCTCCATCAGAAGCACTCATGCTTTCCTCCCTTTCAGGTTCTTCATCCTCTTCTATCTCAACTTTTTTGTCATAAAGCTTATTTTATCAGAATGAGTTAATACATTCTGTCCACTTGTTGCTATTATAGCCATACTATGTCCCTTTTATGCAATAAATTTAACTTTTCCAGGATTTGATTCTCTGTCATTTATCATATCTTTTAGTTTTCATGTTATAGGTGATCTAATTTATCTTCCAAAATATGCAGAGAGATTTTGCATTCTACCAACATGTGGAATAGTTCTATAACTCAATAATAATCTTGGTATTAACTATCTATGGTGTCTCTGGATGGGGAAAATGTCTTTAACCTCATTTTCACCATCTGCATCATTCTTTCTGCAATTCCATTTGATTGAAGATGGTATCATGGTGTTTTATAAGGGAGACAACCAATATGTTCTAACCATGAACTCAAAGTTTCATCACAAAATTCTGGTGCATTTTCAGAAACTAACGTTTTGGCACCTCATTTCTGGAAAATCTTATTCATAATATTTGCTTTACCATGGCTGACTTCCTAACCTGAATTGTAACCACTTAAGACCATCCAGAGAATGATTCAACCAAAATTAAAAATAGTCCTATGCCTTTAACATGTGCATGATCCATATGAACACTGGCCCATGGGTCATATTCTTTAAGCCATGAATGTATCTTGGTTTGGCAAAAGATTTTTATTTCCTTATATTTTGGGCATTTTTGTATATATTTTTCTACATCACATGAATCAGTACACAACAATTCCAATTTTAATTGTTTCTGTGTTGCTGTTATTTTAAAATTAACATCACCATATACAATTTTTATTTCATCTTTTCTTAATCTCTCTAGTGGTATTAAAACATCTCTATTGCATATAAGACTTTTCTCTATAGTTAATCTGTAGAAATAAATCTTTCTTAGTACTAAATCCTATAAGGTTTCAAATCTAAGGGTAATATATCTGCTTCAGTTCAGTGCAATATTTTATCTACTTAATTGTCTGATCATTCTAATAGTTCATTGTTGAACTTTAGTCTTGATAGAGCATTTAAATATGGAATAGTGTTTTCTTTTCATATATACAATGTCAAAATCAAAGGCCATAACCTTCATGGCCCACCTTAAAATTCTAGATGTAAGTTTAGGTAATTCCTTCCTGGGTTTAAAAAATAAATTCTAAAGATTTATGGTCAGATTTAATTAGAAACTTCCTGCCTAATAAAAATTAGCGAGCTTTATTTGTGCTCCATATGATAGTTAATGCTTCTTTTTCAGTATTTGAATATGATGATTTTAACCTTCTAGAAAGGTAGATTATAGGATGACCTTCTTGAGACAAAATCAATATGGCACATTCAGTTGCATCTGTAGTTAATGTCACTTCTATTGTTGGGATCAAAATTTTTATAATGAGTTTTTTATAAGTTCTTTCTTAAAACTTTCAAATGCTGTATTCTGACATTGAGCTCATTTAAAATTTGGATCTCACTATACTTTTGCAAATATCTGCTGTAAAAATTGGTTAACTATAAAAAAGATTCTAATTTTTTTATTTGTAAGTGTAGATAACTCTGCTATTTTCTTTATCAAATTTGTGTCTGGTGAAAGTCCATCTTTGGAAATCTGATATCCCAGATATGTTATTGTGTTGCAATTTACCACACATTTATCTTTGTTTATAGTAATCCCAGCATTTTTTAATTTATTTAAAACATTGAAAAGTCTTTAAAAAATAGCACTTGCTGTTTTTGCACCATAAGGTATACACTACTATCTGAGTAAGCCTAATGGAGAGTTAATCATAGTGACCTCTTTAAATTTTTCAACAATCTGTATCTGGTTATAGGCAGATTTGAGGTCAATTTTAGCAAAGTATTTAATTCCTGACAATTCCTGAATAGCAGTTTCAAACTCACAGAATCTGGAAGCCTCTTGTTGCTTGTGTACATACTGTATTATTGTTTCATTCAGTTCTTGTTTTCTCATGAGAAACTTTTTCCTCTCAGCAATAACCAGCTTCTTTTTTGGCCACAAATTTCTCTATGTCTGAAATTTGTGAAAAGGTCAAATTTTCCAATTCTCTGGGACAGGCCATGAGAGGGATCTTTCTGATGGCCTCACATCCTGGCAAAGCCAAGAAGAGATCTGTAATCTCATTCACACCTCTTACAACTTTGTGGTATTTTAATTTCTTGGCCCATGCATGGGCAGCAAAACATCAATTCCATATTTCCACAAAGTCCAGCATATCCATTGGTATTAGACATCCTATCAGCAACACCATATTATTGCCATGTCTTCTAGTCTGTGACATGGATGTTCTACCCCTGTACCCAGTAACAACTGACTTATTAGTAGTCACTTGACTCTATGCAAAATAGGGCAAATCTATTTTGCCTATCTCACTACAGTCTCTTTTGTAAACATTTAGTACAAAAATTAAGATTGTTTTTATATTTGTAAATTTCCATTATTTGAGAACATAACATTTATAAATGTTCAAAATATAAACAAAATGATTTCTAGCAAAATGACCTACTGAAAAAAAAAGAAAGGGTTTAAGATAGATAGATAGATAGATAGATAGATAGATAGATAGATAGATAGATAGATAGATAAAGTAAAAGATACTAAATGAAAATATAATTTTTGAAATATTTGAGTTAAGGAATTGTGTGAGGATAATTGCACAAACTATTAATATTGAATAATAAATAAAAATGAATTTAATTCATAGATTGTGAAAAATTAGGCCACTATATATAAGGCATATATATTAAATATTTAGAATGGAATATTTCATATTTCACAAAAGTTTTTTACATCATGAAACGAGCAAAAGAAATCTAATAGAAGGGTAGAATATCAAAGATACATACTAAGATATTCTGCCTCATGTGAGCACTGTTCTGAATAGGGGAAACATTAAACTATACAAGTATATGAAAATAAACAAATTATTGTGCTACAATTTGTTAGCTACATATATATCTAGGTTATGTGGATCTCAGCTATATATATATATATATATATATATATATATATATATATATATATATATATAAAAGAAAGAGGTTATAGTGGTTCCAACGAGAGAAAAGTGTGTATATTAAAAAGAAGAGAAGAGAGGTGCCGCAAATGTTTTTGATTGTAATGTGGATTTTTTTTTAAAAATATTATGCTTTATTTTCCATAATTTTACTACATGTGTTTATGGTCTTGCAACTGTCTTCAGGTAAAAGGCGGAGATTTCCACATATTATTAAAAATAATTAATTTTTTTTCTTATGTTTTTCAATGGTAAATATTCTCGATATGAGACATTCTCTGTTTTTGTATTAGTAATCCAAATGTTATTCTTGATTTTTATATATATATATATATATATATATATATATATATATATATATATATATTATAGGGTAAAAAATCCAAAATTACCACATGTGAGTATAGTCTATTTCAAACCGGCACAACCTTCTGTCAGTCCTCCTCAGCATAACAACCCCCCACCCCGGGATGAGTTACCTTGGAATCAGGGATTTGAAATTTAATTTAGATAGCAATTGAGGAAAATGTATGGCTCTACCCAAAGAGATGCCTTATCTAGATAAAAAGCCTGAGTTGGTGATAAGGAGAGGGCATGCGGTATCTCTCTAAAGTGGGTGGGGCCGGAATGGGAGTTTATTTATGACTAAAGCCTTAAGTTGTATATAAAGGAATTTAGGTTCCCTCTAGGGAATACCAAACTATACCAACAACAAATACGTTTTAATAGGATTAACAATAAATTTTATTTAGACAATTAATATAAAGAAAGAATATAATTAAAGGGTTTATATTGTTAAGTAATGGGGGATTTAAAGACAAAACAATTTAAAGTTAGAATGAATTATCTAGATAATAGATTCCCAAAATCTGTAATACCGAAACACCCAATAGAATAAATTATGCTGTATAACACACACACACACACACAAACATAGACACACATATATATATATATATATATATATATATATATATATATATTATGGATTTATACCATTAAGGGTCAGTTAAATTATTAAGAAAATCAAACTGTACCCAAAATTATTAAAGTGAAAAGTTAATCAAAGGGGGTTGCATTAATTAAGGGACTGTTAAAAGATAGAATTAATACAGAGAATAAAGGGAAATTATAGAAGTTAATTATCATTATATATTTAACATTAATGGGGTTTTGTGGAAGTTAATAAGTAATAAGGTAAGGTTTATATTCTTATATAAGTTTGAACCTACTTCTATGTCTACATTTTAACACTAATTCTTGATTTAATTGTTTGCATTGATTATTGTAATTTATTATTCTAATTTTTTTCTCTATACTGCACCTATCTCTAAAAATTTCTTTGAAAAGGTTGTTTGGTATTTTAATTTAGGATTGGTAAATGAGTGCCTATGGGTATAAAATCTCTGTTTCAATTCTGCCACAGAAATTCCAAAATAAACATTATAATTTGTCATATTTTCTTTAGAGATAATGGTTGCTTAGTATATTACCCTAGTAGATCTGTATTTGCCTTCAACTGGACAGTTTTCCCTATTTCTACAATTACAGGGGGGTTCCATGCTAGATTTAGTGTTTTTCTCATAGAATCTACTTAAGATATAATTATTATGAGAGTTGATAATTTGGTACATGTTATTAGTGCAAGAGTAGCTAATTTTGATCAGTTTCCTGTAGAAGATCTTATTTAAAGAGTTGTTTTTGCAGAAATGTTTATTTCATAATTTTAAAAAGTGCTGTTCAATATTTATATTTGACATTTTGAACCAAATGAGTTTTCTTTTTTTATTTCTATGCCTACATCCCACTTTAGGTGTTTTGGCATTACTTATAGAGATTAAGTAAGATAACTTCTTTTTGGAACCACTATTGTGGAGAGCATTTTCATACATTTCTGTATTTTTATTAAAGATTTTTTCATTGGACAATAATTTACTAATTCTGGTGCAAACAGTAGTGGGTATTTGTCTCAGAATGGCATTGGGGTGGTTAGAACTAACATTAACATAATTGGGTGTTTCATTCTCTTTATGGTAAGGTTTAAAGGTTTTATCATTAAGGTTAAGGGTGATGTCTAGGTAATCAACTATTTTAAGGTTAGAAGAAATTTCAATCTTAAACCCTAGTAATTTAAAAGACTTAATGATTTTTTTTTAACTTTGCTGTTAGCAGACCATTACTATTGAGGATGAAGATGAACCTGTCATCTCTATATAGGCTCATTAGTTCTGGATGTATGATTCTACTAAGTATATCTAAAATATAAAAACATACTAAATCAGCGACCTGGGCTGAATCAAATGCTCCCATAGGGACATCAAAATCATCATTATGGCACTTAGTCCAGGTAGAATTATTAAGTGTTAGCAGTGATTTTCTAGCAGTTAAGATGGTATTAGTTTCATCATCCGTTTTCTCCATATAGTTTTTTGCAAAGTAAATACTATTACCTAAGAGATCGCTGGAGACAGAGAAATAGAAATCTATTATATCAAACTTAATAAATGTCACTCTATCCTTATTATTCATATTGGCAAACCATTTGATAGTGTTTGCCGAATCCTTCCAAAGATTAGCACAGGTTGTGATTAGTAGTTTATTGGTTATTTTTTAATTATATTTTTTAAGATTAGACCTAGTTTAGTTTTAGTTGGATTTATTAGTTTAGACTGTGTACTGCTAGCAAAGTTAGGTTTGTGATCCTTAAATAAAATGTAAGCATCTTTAGTATGGATCTTTCCCACTCTATCTGCAATATTTAAATTATTAGCTATCTCAGTATTCTCTGTGTCAATCTCGGATATCTATATCTATCTAGTTTGTATGTGTCTGTTATTTTGTCCATCAGAATTTTATGGTAGTGTGAAGGGTTACATTTATAAATATTTTTAGGTTTATAGGGTCTTACCCAAATGTCTTTGAAGTTTCTAATAGTTTTTATAGAACTCATGGAAAAAACACCAGATAAAAGATGAAAAAACCTGAAAGTCAACCTGGAACAATCTGGGGTAATTGTTTCATCATGCACTATACAGCACATTGAAAACTCCATTTTTAGAAAGCTTGTGTCAAAGATCATTAATTCTCTAGCAAGATAACAACCCAATACACATCCAAAGCACAGAAGAATAGTTGAAAAAAAAAATGGGCTGTTTTAAAGTGGCCATCAATGTGTTCTGATCTTAATCCCATTGAAAATCAATGGGGTCAGCTGAAATCTGACATAGGAGAAAGGAATACTGCAATGTTCAAGAGCTTGAACAAATTGCAAAGGAAGACTGAGAGAAAATACCGGTTATGGAAGTGCAAAAAGCTTATAGATGGCTTCCAGAAACACTTGAAAGCAGTCATCCCGCCAAATGGGCTACAAGCAAATATTAAGGAGGGGTACTTTTATTATTGTCCATTTTTTTCTTTTCTCTCTTTGAAATTGCAACATGTAAGTTGAAAACATATTTTTTTGGTTGAAGTTAGTTTTGTGCCATGTGTGATATGTGCGTAGGCAATCATGTATCTTTCAATACATGACTGATGAGGCAGATCTTTTCCTGCAGTAGTTTGCCATTTCTTTCTGCAGTAGACCAGTTGCCATCCAAGGCTATAGAACCCGGTCTGTCCTGCTATTTGCCTATAGCTAAGGGGAGAAGAAGAGGATTCATACCTTTCCCAAGGGTATTAGCACATAAGTGAATGAAATGGATTTGAGTGGAATTCGAACTCAGCTCTCCGATTCCCCAATCGGAGCTGCTATCCATTACTCCACCATGAATTACTTTGGATAACCAATTCTAATGATATAAATCTTGCACTTACTTCAAAAGATATAGCCAAAAATGAAATGTTGCCAATAATTATTACCAGAACTGTATCTATATGTATATATTTAGTAATAAATAAAATTAAATATCCTTACTCTGAATTTTTGACAAAATATAATCTTTGTTATTGTTATATATATTTGTGTATATTTATCTATTGATATGTATGTGTCTCCCTTTCATTCTTTCTCCCACTGAATTATTGGAAAATAAAGTAAATATTCAATATCATTTTGTTACAGGTGCTGGAACAAAAGAAATCGGGATGTCAAATAAGATATGTGGAATGATTGAAGTAACTGCTGTCTGCCAGCTTTTCAGATGGGAGCATGATCATGGGATAAATTAATAGAAACGAAAAGGATCAGACGGCCATCAAAGATGGGTAACAAAAATAAAAGAGAAACGTTAGAGAAACACAAGCCGAAAGAAAAAGAGAAAATTGAGCATTATATGTGGATTAATAAATTTTCCAGCCAAGATGATCATATTTGTGCAATTGAAAATAAAATTTTCCTAGTGTTACATCAGTTTATTGCATTGAAGCCGTGTGTTGTATTGATTTAACTATTGAAAAGAAAACCAAGAGGAATGAAAGGAGCAAGACTACAGTAGAAACATTATTTTATAATGAGAGTACAAAATATTTAAGCAAAAGTTTGATAAATAATTGCCTAATTTAAATAAAGAATACTTACATATATTCCCATCCTCACATCCAGCCACTAAAAGATCAAGAGATTCAACAAAGGTCAATTTCATT